CGTCTATTACCCCATCTTAAAATTTCTTATTCTTCTTTCATCTCGTTTTGTTGTTAATTCCATGTAATGACTTTCTTTTTCTTTTGAAACAGGGTTTTGCCTTGTTGCCCCAACTCCAAAGCAGTGGCATCATCACAGCTCAGTGCAGCCTCAAATTCCTGGGCTCAAGCAGATCCTCCTGCATCAGCCTTTCAAGTAAGTAGGACTGCAGATGCACACCACCATGCCCAGCTAATTTTTTTAAATTACGCAGGCTGGTCTTGAACTCCTGGCCTCAAGCAATCCTGCCACCTCCGCCTCCCAAAGTGTTAGAACTACAAGTGTGAGCCATCACACCTGGCCCTCATCCAGTGACTTTTAAAAGTTTAATATGGTATTTCCACTTGGATAATTTTATTTGTTTTTTAAAATTGATTTCTATTTTTATGCTATTTTTCCTATCTTTTCATTTTCATGGTCATATTTTCCTTTATATCTTTTATTTATTTATTTAAACTCCAGAGACAGAGTTTCTTTCACTTTATCACCCTTGGCAGAGTGCTGTGGCATCGCAGAGCTCACAGCAACCTCCAATTCCTTAGGCTTAGGTGATTCTCTTGCCTCAGCCTCCAGAGCAGGTGGGACTATAGGTCCCTGCCACAACGCCTGGCTATTTTTTGTTGCAGTTTGGCCAGGGCTGGGTTCGAACCCGCCACCCTTGGCATATGGGGCCAGTCCTCTACTCACTGAGCCACAGGTACTGCCCATCTTTTATGTTTTTTGTCCATGGTTATATTCACTGTTTTAAAAATCTTTGCTAATTTCAATTATCTCACTCATCTTGGAGTAAGTTTCCAATAATTGAATTGTCTTTATCTCTTGAGAATGGGTTACCTATTCCTTCATATGTCAAGTAATTTTGGATTGTATACAGGACATTAGGTATACATTATAAATAATCTGGATTCTGTTCTAATCGGAACATATTAATATTTGTTTGCTTTTTTCAGTAGGGACATAACTTGACTGGAATCAAATGCAAAAAGTCTTCCCCTACCCTTATATTATACTGCAACTCAAATCTCAGTTCAGTCAGTTCCTTCAACCTTAGCTGAGCTGCTTGGACTCTGCCCTATGAATACCTGGTCCAGAGGTCAGCCAGGTATTTGCACAGCTTATATACAGAATCTGAGGCTGCTTCTCTCTGTCTCTCTGTTCTTTGGGGATCTCTGCTTTCCAGTAGCCAGTTTTTGCCCCCAAATTTTTCCTCTAATTATTTAGGAGAGTAAAACTTTCCTTTTTCAAATCAATGTTTTAATTGCTCTGCACATTACTGATTGGGACCTGCCTTCGGACTAAACTCGTAAACTGGGAAATTTACCAGGGATATTCTCATTCTCCATGTCTGGATTCCTTTCCAGTATCTTCCTGTCTGCCGCTCTCCAGTGCCTTCAGATAGTTGTTTTTTTAATATTTTTCTGAACGTTTATTGCTGTTGTCTGTGACAGAGTTGAACTCACAGGAGTACTCAGCAATACTGGAAGTGGAAATCCTTACTTGTCTCACTTAAATGAATAATGCAGATGGTCCCATCTGAGAGATGGTAAAGCGGAGACCAGGAGAGGAAACAAGGTCATGGTGTGTTGCAGAAAGGGCAGGAAGATGTGACAGCCATGGTTTTTAAAAACTGGTTTGGGGATTTTCAGAACTATAAAAATGATTGGTTCCTATGCAAATTTGCTTTGTGCATTAGTAATATTGTACAAAAATACACTAATATTTGTATTGGGGGCAATCTTAGTAAATAGTCAATGTTAATTAAATGTTTACAGGGCTCAGTGCTAAGTTGCTTAAATGTATTATCTGTTTTAATCCTAAAAACAACTCAGTAGGATTGGATTGCTCTTACTGGGAAATTCTTCAGGGGAAGAGATTGAGGTTTAACAAAGTTAAGCTCAAGTGACAGTTATTTGTATAGCTAGTGGATAATGGCTCATATTTATTGAAGTTTTATCATGTTGTAGATAATGCACTAAGTGATCTATACATAGGTCATTATGAAAGTTTTGAGACACACAAAAATTGAGAAATGTTTAATCCTCATGGACAGAAAGAAACAAAGCCCCCCAGCAACACCAATAAGTTGAGCAAATTGAAACTTGACAGATGAATCAGAAAGGACACTGTTGACTGTGTTTGTTGGAAGTGAAATAATGGATCATAACACAGTCTGTCTCAAAACTTTCATAGTGATCCACATATGTATGTTATCTCATTTAATCTTCCCCCAAACCCTATGAGATAATATTATTATTATCACCTCACATTTTCAAATGAAATGGAGGCCGAGAAAGGCTAAGTAATTTGGCCAAGGTCACATAACTAACAAGTGGTGGATCTGGGACTTCAAACAGTTTAGCTCCAAACCCATCTGCTTAACCTCTATGCCACATTGCCTTCTGGCTGCAACAAAGTGTCTGAGAAGACTTACCATCTCACAGGTCCTCTGCAGAGGCAAGAACGCTTCCTCTTAATTAATACCACAGGATCAAACAGAATCTAATAGATTGTGTCAAACAGAATCCCCATGGCCATGGGCTTCTCTGGGACATGCAAGTGGGTGGTACCCAGCAAATATCTGTGTGGTCTGAGTCAAGCAGAGAACCCATTTCTGTCTGTTCCTTAGGCACCCCAGCCTACCACACAAATGAGGAAATCTTCCTAAGAAGGAATAAACTGCAATAAACTGCAGAGGTTCCCTCATCCTGGTTTTCACTTCATGTTTTGGATACTGCAGGCCGGGTGAGCAGAGATCCCAGGCTCTGGCTCAGGCAGCTGCCCTGCCTTTGGGAACTGCCATGAACCACTTCCAGACCATCCTGACTCAGGTCCGAATGCTGTTGTCCAGCCGTTGCCCAAGCCAGGTGCAGACCCTCCTGGACAGCCTGCTGGAGAAGGAGCTTCTCTCCAGGGAATACCACTGTGCCCTGCTCCATGAGCCTGATGGTGAGGCTCTGGCCAGGAAGATCTCTCTGACCTTGCTGGAGAAAGGAGACCCAGACGTAGCCCTCCTGGGATGGGCCTGGAGTGGGCTACAGACCCCAGCGGCCGAGAGGATCCCTGGCCATGGGGACTATGGCGGTAAGTTGGCACCTTTCATTGAAGGAGCAATAACTGTCTACAGGCAGCCCGAGGACTTCCCTCCTCTCTGAAAGGGAAGTCATTAGGAAGGCAGACTGGACAGGACTAGGGGAGTCTAGTAAGCCAGCAGGAGCAGTGATGACTTGGAAAACTTAGTCTCTGTTGCTGGAGGCACACGGCGTGCTTCCCATGCTGCTTAGGAGACACCAACCTGGGGCACTCCACCAACACCTGCTAGGTTCACACCTGAGCCTGGTGACAGACATGCCAGCACTGGGAGTGCACAGATCAACAGGCCAACTACTGCCTTCACGGGACTTAGAGTCTAATGGGGAAGATGGATGTGGGGATAGTCAGTGTGGGTCAAAATAGAGAATGGGGTGCATAGAGGGGAAGACAACGCTGGGAAACAGAGGATCCTGAGTGTGCATCTGTGTGTGCATGAGTATGTGTGCGCATGAGTATGTGTGTGCATGAGTATGTGTGCCCATGAGTATGTGTGCGCATGTGGATGTGTGCGCATGAGTATGTGTGTGCATGTGGATGTGTGCGCATGAGTATGTGTGCGTATGAGTATGTGTGCGCATGAGTATGTGTGCGCATGTGGATGTGTGCGCATGTGGATGTGTGCGCATGAGTATGTGTGTGCATGTGGATGTGTGCGCATGAGTATGTGTGCGCATGAGTATGTGTGCGCATGTGGATGTGTGTGCATGTGGATGTGTGTGCATGGGGATGTGTGTGCATGAGTATGTGTACGCATGTGGATGTGTGTGCATGAGTATGTGTGTGCATGTGGATGTGTGCGCATGAGTATGTGTGCGCGTGAGTATGTGTGTGCATGAGTATGTGTGCCCATGAGTATGTGTACGCATGAGTATGTGTACGCATGAGTATGTGTGCCCATGAGTATGTGTGTGCATGAGTATGTGTGCGCATGAGTATGTGTGCCCATGAGTATGTGTGCGCATGAGTATGTGTGCCCATGAGTATCTGTGCGCATGAGTATGTGTGCCCATGAGTATGTGTGCCCATGAGTATGTGTGCATGTGTGTGCATTTGCTTGTGTGGGGGGGGGGCGGGATGTAGTGTGTGTCTGTGTGATAGAGACAGAAACTGAGAGATAGAGAGAGAGAAAGGGAGGCAGAGACAGACATAGAAAGAGACAGAGACTGGGAAAAAACGGGAGGGAGAGAGGAAGAAAGGGAGAGATGGGCAGAGTAAAGAGAAAGAGAGAGACAGTGTGGCGAAAGAAAGAGGGAAAGAGAAAATAAGAACCAGCTGACAGGGACAGAGAGAAGGAGAGTCTTATTTTTCAAAATAGTGTGGATGACACTCAGGCTTCTGAAACCAGAAAGATAACTCTGCACCATAGCGTTGCTGCTCACACCCTCAGGTCCTCGGCCTTCCCAGTTACAAAGACCATCTCACTTCATGGCAGTGTTGCAACTTTCTAAAGACAGTGTTTGTTCTATCTCCTTCCAAAAGGAGCTCTCAAGATGGTAACAGTGATTAACTTTATTGTGTACATACTGTGTGTCAGGCACTGCCTAACACCCTCTTAGTTCTCCTTCCATGATCTCCATCCTTATTGAGCATTTAAAGAAGAAAGCAGAGGTTGCCCAGAGGTGGTGCAACTTGCCCCCAAGTGCCAGATGGGGAGTGGTGAAGCCTGGAGCTGAAGACAGAGAAGCTTTTATCCTCCACCTAGTTTTGAGGGGCTTGCCCGAGACATCAGGCAATGTCTGTATTCTCCGACTTTTCTGCCAAGACCTAAGTTTACATGGGGTTGGCTTTTCTTGCGGTTATGTTCTCACCTAAGCATTTTCCATCATCTCTTGGATGCATCCTTCGTTCTCTTCCTCCTAACCCTAACAGACATGGAGATGGGGGTGCCATCTTCCTTGCCATCTCAATGGAGGCGCAAACATCCACAGGGTCTTGATGGGAGTACAGATGCCAGCCTGCAGGAAAAGTCACAATCTTCCTCTCTGCTCAAGCCTTCACATGGCTGCTGCCGGACACCTCAGCCCCTCCCTCCTCACTTTCTGGTTCCTGTTATTTAACTTCGTTTCCTCCCTGGGGATGTAATATTTTTATTTCTGATCCCACGTGACTCCAGAAAGTGGAACTGTGCTCAAAGTGGTGTGGTCTCCAGGGAGCTGGGAGATAGCAAGACAAATCGTTGCCTCCCTTGGTTGCTTTTCCTGCCCTCTCTACAGCAGCCTGGTTTGGATCCACACAGTGGGGAGGGTGGGTCAGGTGGGCCACAGGTGGCTTTCAGAGGGGAAGAATGGGAACAGGGAAAGAGAATCACATGGTTTGTAAATAAAGACACTGACTTTAGTTTCAATGAGGGTTCAGAAAAGGGAATCATCTATGTGGGGTTTTTGTGACCCTCCCTCTGACCCACCCGATAATGACCTTGGCCTTCTGCTGCTATTGCATTGGCCCCAGGTCACTCAGAGGAAAAGCTAAAGCTGGACCTCGGGCTTCATAGTCTGGCCTGCATCACCGCTCTGCTCCCACCCCTACTTCTCTGCCCTGCACATTTACTCCAGCCATGCGGGCATGCTGGCTATTCCTCAGACAGGCCCGTGCACTCTCTGCCATGTGACCTTTGCATGTGCTATTCCTACCACCTGGAGTACTCTGATCCAGGTATCCTCCTTGGCCAACGTCCTTCAACTCTTTCTTCAAATGTCACCTTATCAGTGAGGCCTACCCAGACCTGCCCGTTCAGAATTACAGCTCCCCTCCCCCACCGTAGCCCCTTCCCTGTATTGGCATTTTTATCACCTTCTATGTTTTATTCTGTATCATGTGTGCTGTTTATTGTTAGACTTTCCCACTGGAAAATAAGTTCCATGTGGACATGG